GAAGTTGTTGAGGGGGGGGGGGGAGATTGTTGTGAAGGGGGGAGGGGGAGAGGTTGTTGTGAAAGGGGGAGGGTGTTTACATAAATTACACCGTGATCCACCTTTAGCCGCTGATTTGGACCAAGTGCCACGCCGTCCGAAGCGACAATGAGCAAAAGCATGACAGCAGCGCTGTTTTATATCTTTTCCGGTTCAGAACCTCATAGGATTTCCCGCAGTTTTTTATGAATGGGCGGAGCAGAATGTTTCTTTTGTGCAGAATATTTTTTTTTTTTTTAATTCTTTATTTAAGAGATTTTTAGCCTTAGGCTAGTTCATCTCTAATTGTGCAGAATATGTAAAAAAGGATGGACTTTGGATGTTAATATAATTGCATATATAGAGGTACCAGATATGTTTCACAGTCAGTTGATGGTAATGCATCGAGTGTATGTCTCCTATTAAGCAACATTTTTTTTGATAATGTTGGCTCTGCAAGTAAAAAATAAATTGTTCATATATTATTAGGGTTTGCTTAAAATTTATTTCCCGAAAAAAAAAGATCGTCATAGTCCATGTCTTTCTCGGGTTATTGTTAAGGGGGTTGGGAGGGGATTGTTAAGTGGGACGGGGTTTTACATGCACGTTTTTTCAAGTCTCATTCCTTTACATGCACGTTTTTCCAAGTCTCATTCCTCATTGTGGTGGACACGCCGTGATCCACCTTTAGACGCTGACCTAGTCCTGCTTGATGCAGGACCTAGTGCCACGCCGTCCGAAGCGGTAATGAGCAGAGGCATGAGAGCACCGCTGATTTATATCTTTTCAGGTTCAAGCAGAATGATGTGCAGCCAAGTGGTATTCGTTTATGATGACTGGGTTTGGGAAAAAGGCTTATTTCATGAAATCAGTGATAAAATTATCATTTGTACATTTTCAAAAGTTTAATTACAGAAAAATTGGAAAAATATTTATTTCAACAGGTTCGTAATGTTATATCCTATCGATTGGCGTATTTGGATTTTAATTTCATCTATAAATGACAAAGTTACAAGCGTTCAAAACCTAACACTCCTTCACCACACATATTTTTTGATTTGCACCCCAGTATAGTCGACAAAGACGTAGTTCTACGTCAAAAACTGCTAAGGGCGAGCAGCAGTTCAAGGCAAACTGGCTTTCTGCGGCGAAGAAGGTGGACAAGGTGGCTGTACAAAATCTGATGGCAGGGGTCAAGCGTAAGGCCTGGCAATTCGGATTTGGAAAAGCGGAAGCCTAACTGAATATTTTTCCTGAATTTTATACTAATTGAACTTGAAAAAGAAATTTAATTTGATTTTTTTAAAAAACGATTTCACCGATTTACACGCGTTTTCCCTTGACCAAATTTTGACCGTATCACCCTTTATGGACACCGTTTACGCGGTTTCCATTTACATTTTGTCTATTATCCGCATTTTGGGGGTTAATTGTAATCAAAGTTTAGCTTTTTTAGTTCAAAACAAGTTTTTTGAAGAATACAAGTTGGTTTCAGATCGATTGGCAGCAACAAAATGGCAATGGAAAACTCATATGTGTTGTACAAAGTACAACAGCGCGAGTAACGGGGGGTTAACTTTTATGCATACCGTAAAACGGGGTGTAATTGATCAGCGGGGCAAAATTGATCGCTGAAATTTCTCGTGATATTTTTTCATGTGTAACATGTTTTTCGTTACTAAGCGTACGAATGTATCTTTGTATACATTGTAAAAATATTATGCATAAGTACAATATTGGGTATACTCAGCGATCAAATTCACCCCGCTGATCAATTTCACCCCGTTTTACGGCACCTTCTTTAAAAAATTTCCCACCTAGACGGACCTAACAAATGCGAGATAGGAAGAAGTGACCGTCGTAATTAATTTTAGGCTCATAGGTTGAAAGAACTTCAGCATGTCCAAAATATATTCGTTCCCATTCAGTGTGTCCAAAATATATTATGGACACTGTCCAAAATCAAGTGGAAGGGTCCAAAATATGTGAATATCATGATGTGAAAAGAATTATTTTTCGAGTATATATCAATAAATAAAACATCTAGTGACATTTTACATCCAAGATGAGTAGCTTTCGAACACAACCGCATGTAAATTGCATAATAATAATAAACAAATAATATTATTTTGACATAAACGTGATCTCACTTCCTCTAGGGGTCCAAAATCAGTTGGTTACCCTATGGTGTCGTAAGGAAATTTTTTTTTCGTATTTTTTGGCCAATATTTTAATGTTAGTGAAATTAGGGTGGTCCATAAAAGTGGTGAATTGAAAATACAAGCTTTTTTTAATATTTGAGATAGACCAATGCAGTGTCCAAAAAGTTGTAGAACAGTCATTTTGAATCAATTTTGCTGAAAACATCACATTTCTTATGGTTCATTAGTTATGATTATTTTAAACAAGCAGGTAAGGGTGGCCCTAAAAAAATCGGCTTTCTTTAAATATAATTTTATACGTTCATTTCTCGTAGAAACTTTGTTGTAAATACTTTCAGAACTTTTTATGACGCATATTTTTGTTGAAGCATCTAAGTTTTTTTTATCTTTATTAAAGAGACTTTAGGCCCTGGGTTGATTCGTACAACTAAGTTGATATTTCGTTTATTTGAAAAGTTTTGGCTAGTTTTTGGTAAAAAAAATGATTTTTATTAAATAACATAAAATACTTTAAACAAAAAACGTTCTCTGACCTGCTTGTTTAAAAACATCAAATCTCAAGGATCATAAGAGATATAAATTTGATGTCTTTAACAAAAATGCTCTGAATTGATTATTCTACAACTTTTTAGAACGTTGGCCTATCTCAAATAATAAAAAAATGTATATTCAATTCACAAATTTTGTCAACCACCCTAATTTCACTGATATAAAAAGATCGGCCACAATATATGAAGCAACTTTCCCAAAGACACTAAATACCTAAAACTGCCGGTTTTGGGCCCAAACATTTTTGTCTTCCTAAATACGGCTTTGGGACTTGTGCAGTGGATGGCCTTCCGAAAGATCCGAAACATCCGTAAAAGTCACTTCGGTGGCAGAAACCCTAAGTAACAATTTTTGTTCTATGAGGGTTCTGCAGACCATGATTTATACTTGTAGAGTGCTTTAAAACCTCTACAAAACTAGCAATGTTCCTTGGGGCGTCATCTACCAACATTTTGCTTGAAGTCAAAATTGTTGGTCCTTTGGCTCAATTATCTGCCAATCTAAGACAGCTGATGCAAACATTTATGAACTATGCTCCGTCTACATAGATGTTTGATTTGTTGAGCGGCAAAATAATCGTGATAAATGTTCGACAAGCGCGTACATGTAGGAATTTTTTTTTCTTTGATTTGTTTTGCAATGCCTCCGAAAATCCCGGCGGCGCCGACTGGGATTGAACCCATGCCTTCTGGGATGAGAGGCAATAACGCTTACCACTACACCATCGACGCCACTAAGAATTAAATATTTATTATATTAATTTATAAAGTAAGCAAGCGAATCATAAAAAATTCAAGTTTCATTAATGATTATTCAAATAAGATTTTTTAAAGCATAAAGGGCGAACACGAACTTATTGCGACACCGAAAATGTCATGCCAATTTTCTTATAATGTTTAGAATCAAACCAAAATTTTAGGGTAGTTTTATACATATATTTACTTCAAAAATCAAAAAAAAAGTTAATCGATGGAGCCTTGCGTGTAAAATTGAACGCATTTTCGCTTGATGCCCTCCATCAAAGTCTTTACAGTGTCATCCGGTACCAGTTTCTCAGTTTTTTTTTTTTCCATTTTCTTAACATGTCCTTCTCGTCTTTGACTGTCTTCTTGCTCTTCCGAAGTTCCCGCTTCATTATTGCCCAGTACTGCTCCACCGGGTGCAGCTCCGGACAGTTTGGCGGATTCATGTCCTTTGGAACAAAATGGACAGAATTGGCCTCATACCACTCCAGGACACTTTTAGAATAGTGGCATGATGCCAAATCTGGCCAAAATAGCGGAGCTTCGTCGTGCTGCTGCAAGAACGGCAAAAGGCGCTTCTCGAGGCACTCAGATTTGTAGATCTCGCCATTTACTGTGCCCTTTGTCACGAAAGGCTCACTCCTCAGTCCGCAAGAGCAGATGGCCTGCCAAATGAGATATTTGGAGGCAAACTTCGACATTTTCTTCTTCTTAAATTTGTCGTCCACATCGAACTTGCTCTTGCCGGTGAAAAACTCCAACCCCGGAATTTGCTTAAAATCGGCTTTTATATACGTTTCGTCGTCCATCACACAGCAGCCATATTTTGTCAGCATCTTCTCGTAGAGCTTCCGTGCCCGAGTTTTAGCCGTCGATTGTTGCCGCTCATCGCGGTTTGGGAAGTTCTGTACCTTGTATGTATGTAGTCCAGCTATCTTCTTTGCATTCTGGACGTAGCTCTGCAACATGCCGATCTTTTTAGCCAAATCACGGCTTGAGACGTTGGGATTTGCTTTAATCATCCGCTTCACCTTTCCCTCCGTCTTTTTGTTCTCCGGTCCCGGTTTTCTTCCAGCTCCTTTGCCGTGGTCCAACGTCAACCGCTCCTGGAACCGCTTCAACACTCTGGAGACGGTTGAATGGTGAATGTTCAACATTTTTCCCAACTGCCGGTGCGACAGGTCAGGAAATTCCAGGTGTTTGGAAAGAATTTGTTCTCTCAACTCGCGTTGGTTCACCTCCATTTTCGTTGAATCGAAAAACACGACTTCGAGTTTGACAGCATGTACACAATACACATCAATGAGAAAGTGTGCAAAATTTGGTTGATTTTTACCCAATGGTAAAAAAGTTATGCCCTGTTGAATGTGTCGCAATAATTTCGTGTTCGCCCTTTACGACACGTCAATGCACATATAAACATAGCCTTAAAACTGTAGGCTACAGTGCTGACACCACCAATGGTGGTGGCTTCAGCAACCATCCTTCTTGGCAAAGGATTGGTAAACGTGGTTTTAGGGGAGCGCACTTACCGTGCTGGATTCTTCAGTTGTAGGCAGCCTTGTTGTAATCGAACGACGACGGGTGCAATATTGGGAGAGCCTTTGGGGTTTAGCCTTTGGCTTTCGGGAAGTTCCTCGTTCCAAGGAATGTATATCGCCAACAACCTTTGGATGAACATCTTCGCATTCATAACCACGGATCCGTCTAATCCGAGTGGGTCGAATAACTGCGCCATCTCGAAGGCCACTATCCGCTTTGTGACCTTCTCCAGTGGCGGTAGGGCTGGAATCTTGAAACCGAACTCATCCGTGATGTGCGACCACAGAAGATCCAATGTTTTTACGGTTCCAGAACCATCGATTTCTGTTTCTGGCGAGAACTCCTTCAAATCATCCGGCACGTGTGCCAGAACCCTTGTATCGTTGGTGCTCCATTTTCTCAAATTTAATCCAGCCAGCTTCAGGAGCTCCGCTGGCTGCTTACTCACTTCGAAGACGACCTCCAAATCGTCCTCGCCAGACAGTGCATCGTCCATGTAGAAACCGTTGAGGATTACCTTCGTACCAAGAGGCCAAGAGGGTATCGGTGACTCTCGTCCTCCACCAGTTGGTTCAGCACACGGGCTGCGAGATACGGTGCACAAAAAGTGCCGTCTGTAACTGTAGTAAGATGGTACCGCTGTAGTTGTTGAAACCCACTTAAGCGCCAAAGAACTTGCAGGAATTTGCGGTCCAATGGATGGATTTTTGGCGGAACATCTTCTCCGCATCTGCCTTGAAAACGTACCGAGGTATCCACCAGTTGAGAACGATTGCGAGCAGACGAGGTTGAACAATTGGGTCGACGAGCAAAACATCATTCAGCGACAACCTGGAACTCCCCTTGCAGGTAGCATCAAATACCACGCGGGTCTTCGTGGTAAGGCCTGTACTCGAAAAAAAAATGCACCAGACTAAAGTGTTCGCCAAAAATTTATTTTAAGTTGGATTTTCTTGAAACTTTCAGGGAATGAACTTATACATATGGATTATGTTTTGGCATAATTAATTTCTTCAGTTTCCGTTCCATCGCTGAAATCCCGCACCTCTCATTACATTTTGTGCAATGGTGGAGCCGACCTTTTTGGTCACTTTCATCTTTCTTCAACTCCAGCTCGTTCTTAAACACCTTGGACGATTTTCGAACTTTGGCCTTCATTATGGCCCAAAATCTTTCTACCGGGCGAATCTCTGGTGAATTTGGGGGGTTGGCGGTTTTTGGTACAAAAACAACGTTATTGTCTCTGTACCAATCCAACGTCGATCGCGCGTAATGGCCAAAATAATGTCTCGCCTTCGTGGTACCGCAGGAAGGGCAACAGACGCTTCTGGAGGCACTCGGTGCGGTAAATTTCGCTGTTGATGGTACCATTGTGATGTACGGTTTACCGCATTGACATATGGCCTGCCAGATCAAGTATTTTTTGGCGAATTTGTCCACTTTCTTCTTCCTTATGTCTTTCGGAACATCAAACCGTGATTTGGCAACGTAGAACTCCAACCCCGGTATCTGATTTGCGTCTGCCTTGATGTAGATTTCGCCATCCATAACCACACACATCGGTTTCGTTAACCACTCTCGATACAGCTTCCTTGCGCGGGATTTGTCCGCCGTGTTTTGTTGATCACGCCGGTTCGGTGCCTTCCGGACCTTGAATACACGAAGCCCAGCTCGTTTCATGGTTTACTGAACGAACCAGGCGGAACACTTTGCCTTCAGAGCCACGTCGCGAATAGAAAGGTTCGGATTACGCTTGAAATAATCCAACACCTTCCGGGCCTTCACAGGGTAAGCTGTCTTCGATTTTCTTCCACTTCCAGCCCACCGCTCGGTCGTCTGGGACTCCTTAAATGATTTTACCATCCGAGACACAGTTGTATGGGTGATTCCCAGTTGTCTTCCGATCCATCTCATGGTCGCGGTTGGATTTTCCATGACGGCGCGCAAAATTCTCCGGCGATTTTTTTCTTGTTCAGATGACATCTCAATAACCACTGAACCGATTGTTATGAAATTTTGCACATGTAAATAGTTCACTCCAAACTAGTTATACGCAGATTTTCATCAATTTTTACCCATGGATAAAAAAGTTACACACGGATAACAATGTTGCATTTTTTTTCGAGTACAAGCCTTAGAACTGTCTGGGCGGAAAATGGCATGATGTGGCAGGACAAACTGGGGATTTTCAACGGGAGGACTCAACTCCTAGTGTCTTGTACTCCTCCATAAACTTAACGTACTCGTTCTTGAAGTCACTGTTCACCGCAAACTTCCGCTCGATCGCCAGAAATCTACGTTGCGCCACCGCAAACGAATCTCCCAACATAACAAGCATTTCTTCCCGTAGAGGAAGCCGAACCATGTAGCGACCATCACTCGTCCTGGTCACCGCCCTTCGGAAGTGTTCTTCACACGCTTCTTCCAAGGGTGTCATCGCCTTATGGTCGTCGAAGTTCTCGACCTCCCAAAAGCGCTGTAACTAACTGTCGAGACTTGCAGTTGCATTCACGATGCAGATTGATGAAGCATTCGATGGTTCGGATAATTTTCCAGCAACGACGTACCCGAAGACGGTCTTTTGGAGTATCGGGTAACCGGCCGATAAGATATGCGTTTCCATTAATGAGTAAAACAGATCTCCCCCGATCAGGATGTCGACCCCAGAGCTGATGTTAAACCTGGGCTCTGCGAGAGGAATGTTATCTGGGAGGTTCCAACTAGCGATATCGATGTGCTTGCTAGGAAGTGTGACCGTGATTTGTGGTATGGCAAGGCATTCGAGTAGGTAATCAAATCTTCCGAAGCGAGATGAGATTTTGATGACTACCTTCGAGCGAATTTGAACGATGCCTTGACAAATTCCACTGACATCGAAGCTTATCCGGTCACTTTTCAGTTCCAGCTTCCGTGCCAGAGCTTCCGATATGAAGTTGGCTTGAGAGCAGCTGTCCAGAACTCCTCGAGCGCGATGGTAATTTCCACTTACGTTCTTCATTTTCATCACCACTGTTTACAGAAAAACTTCATCACTGTGCGCCTTCACGGAACCTTTTTGCGGGGCAACGTAGGAAGCCACAGCAGAAGCGCCCAAATCGAGGATACTGCAGATCGATCGCGACGGGGACGAACTAACCGGCGACGGGGAGGGAGCTACGACAACCGAATACGAATACGTGTTTACCGAACCGGGTTCGACATGCGAAGGTGAAGCATACGATTGCGTTTCGATTGCGGACGAATTCAACTGGTCTTGCTCGGAAGGAAACACCTCACTGGATACCGTAGAGCATGCCAATGCTGTTTGACCGGCGGATTTCACAGCTACGGTTGGCGACGACCAATGCAGAAGAGTGTGGTGCTTCTTCGAGCAATTCCTGCAGCTACCACTGCTACAGTTTTTCGCCAGATGTGATCCCTTCAGGCAATTGATGCACAATCCATGCTTCTTCACCAGCTCAAAGCGTTGCTTCGCCTCCATTCCGATTAACTGATCGCATTTGAAGAGTGGGTGTGCTTGCTTGCAAAGAGAAAATTTGCTTGTTTTCTCTGTTGCAATGTGAGTGGAAATCGGTTTGGGTTTTGTAGGCCTTGATTCGAAAGGTCTTCAACAGCAGCTTGACAGACTGCAGTACTCGCGACGTTTTCCACACAAAATCTACCAATTTTTGGTAGGTAGGACGTTCTTCTCCCTCACATGAGTTTTCCCACTCTTTGTGCGTGCTAGAATCGAGCACCGTGTTCCACAGATTAGCCGGGTTGTCCAGTTTTTCTAAAATGCCCACATGATGATCAAATTTGCCACATTCGCACGCGATTTTACTCTCGCAGGGAGACTCAATGAATGAGATTTGAGAGTGATTTTCCGAACACTGCTGACTCCACACCCGGATGAACCACATCCAAATTAAAAATTCACCAATACCAACAAGCATTGAAAATAAGCAAAATGGAAAGTATTGAAATTTTGACCAGATTCGTAAATACAATATTATTGTATAATTATAATAATTCTAGTACTGGAATGACAACTTCAGTTATAAGATTCCAAGTTCAGGGAAGGTCTGCCGAAGGACAGGGAAGTCCTATTGAAGTTCAGGGAAGTCTTGCCGTAGTTCAAGGAAGGCCTGGCGAACTTCAGGGAAGTCCTGACGAAGTTCAAGGAGTCCTGCCGAATGTTCTGCCGAATTTCAGGGAAGTTCTGCCAAAGTTCAGGGAAGTCCTGCCGAAGTTCAGGAAAGTCCTTCCAAAGTTCAGGGAAGGCCTACTGAAGTTCAGGGAAGTCCTGCCGAAGTTCAGGGAAGTATTGTCGAAGTTCAGGAACTTGCTGCTGAAGTTCAGGAAAGTCCTTCCAAAGTTCAGGGAAGGCCTACTGAAGTTCAGGGAAATCCTGCTGAAGTTCAGGGAAGTATTGCCGAAGTTCAGGAGCTTGCTGCTGAAGTTCAGGGAAGTCCTGCTGAAGATCAGATAAGTGCTGCTGAAGCTCAGGGAAGTCCTTCCAATGTTCAGGGAAGACCTGCCCTTTCAATTTTTGGAAATCATTGAAGTTCTTCTGCCGAAGCTGTCGAAGTTCAGGAAAATTCTGCCGAAGTTCAGGGAAGTCCTTCTAAAGTTCAGGGAAGGCCTACTGAAGTTCAGAGAAGTCTTGCTGAAGTTCAGAGAAGTCTTGCTGAAGTTCAGGGAAGTCCTGGTGAAGTTCAGGGAAGTTCTGCTGAAGTTCAGGGAAGTTCTGCTGAAGTTCAGGGAAGTTTTGCCGAACTTCAGCGAAGTCCTGCCAATGTTCAGGAAAGGCCTGCCATTTCAATTTTTAGAAATCAGGGAAGTCCTACTGAAGTTCAGGGAAGTTCTGCCAAAGTTCTGTCGATGTTCAGCGAAGTTCTGCCGAAGTTCAGGGAAGTCCTGCCGAACTTCAGGAAAGTCCTACCAATGTTCAGGGAAGGCTTGCCAAGCTTAGGGAAGTCCTGCCATAGTTCAGGGAAGTCATGCAGAACTTCAGGTAAGTCCTTCTGAAGTTCAGGGAAGTCCTGCCGTAGTTCAGGGAAGCCCTGTTGAAGTTCAGGGAAGTCCTGCCGAAGTTCAGGGGAGTCCTACCGAATTCAGAGAAATTCTGCTGAAGTTCAGGGAAGTCCTGCCGTAGTTCAATGAAGGCCTGCTGAAGTTCAGAAAGCTCCTGCTGAAGTTCAGGGAACTCCTACCGAAATTCAGAGAAGTTCTGCCGAAGATCAGGGTAGTCCTTCCGTTTCAATTAATGGAAATCAGGGAAGTCCTGATGAAGTTCAGCGAACTCCCTCTGAAGTTCAGGGAAGGCCTGCCGAACCTCAGGTAAGCCCTGATGAAGTTTAGGGAAGTCCTGCCGAAAATTCTGCCAAATTTCAGGAAAGTCCTTCCGAAGTTCAGGGAAGTCCTGCCGAAGTTCAGGAAAGTCCTTTCGAAGTTCAGGAAGGCCTGCCGAAGTTTAGGGAACTCCTGCCGAAGTTTAGGGAGGGCCTACCGAACTTCAAGGAAAGATTGCAGAAGTTCAGGGAAGCCCTGCCGAACTTCAGGGTTCACTTTCACCTTAAGACCCTATTTTCTCGAGGTTCTAGAGGCCAAAGTCTCTAAATAATGTTGAAAGTCAAAGTTCGAGTCGTAAAATACATAATTTCAAATTACTCGAACGATGTGATCCATTTCAAGGGCATCTTTAGAATAATTTCTACATTATTCTTAGGAGAATTTCTAGTGAATTTACTGAAGAATTGCAAACAGAACTTCAAAATAATTATGAGAATTTTTTCCTAATAGTTAGCAGGTGAACTACATGAGGACTTTAAGGGGAATTTAAGCGAGTTTTAATATGAATTACTGAATGAAGCTTCTTTGAACTCCTGGAATAATCTTAATTTTTTTAGGATAATCTTAAAATGAATATCATGCTTTTTTTGGAATATTCTGTTGATGACTTTTAAACTTTTGTATGTTAAATTAAGGGACTCCCTAATAGAAGCTTAAATTTATTTAAAAAGAATTTTGAAAAGAACACTGTGAAAGGGAATGATTTCAAAGGAAATTCTTAAGAATATTCCAATAAAATATTTTTAAAAGTTCTGAGGGAATTTTCAAGTTCTGGCAATCGTTAAGTAATAACCGCATTTTTTTACCTATAAAAAAAGTCCTGAAACTTTCCAGTATGTGCAGCAACATTTTTGGAATTGTGTCTGCTGGTGAATCAAATATTGTTATACTTATAATAAAACAATTCTTATTTGACTACCTATTTTCAAATTGTTGTTTCTTGCAACGCAATAAATCGAAATCTGACATCTATTTAATTATTTTAAATTTTCAAGAACATTTTATAATTTTGTGATTAAACCACTTTGATTTTTTTTTTTTTTCGCGGCCCTAGTCCCATCTTTGCTGTGACATATGTCACAAATTGTCACGTTAATTTGATCCCTTTCCCCCATAAATGTGTAACGTAATTTATGGATTGCCCCACTGATCTTAAATCCAAAAGAAGCAGTCATTGGGAATCCATTTTTCCTGCCTTCATCAAATGGCGTTTGGACGGAATTGAAGCTCGTAGGACGAATTTGTTATCAAGAAGCAGTGTTATTTTTTTTAATAAAATATAAATATTTTGGGATTGTCAAATCAAATGGTACATCTGGAAATGGAAATAAACAAAGATGTCATATTTAGTAGAAAAAATATTTTATTTTTTGTTCAAATCCGTTCTTACATAAAATGTAAAGCGCGTGTTGTGCTTAGTGGGATGGAAATTAGAGAAAAAAAAAACTCTAGCTCACATTTACGATCTGATATTCATGACAGGACTTCTGGCATTGTGAATTTGCCGTAATTTCATCCCTAGCTCTTATGAAACATGCTTCATCCTTCTTCATTCTTAGCTCTTATGAAACATGGACTGTGACACTAAACTTGCTTTAGAATCGAGCAAATATAAACGATCTACAAGCTCCACATTGTTAGACCTTTTTCTTTTACATCGAGCTAATTCATATTTGAATACAAAGAGTTGCTTATGAAACTATTCTGACGATAAAGAGAGAATCTTCACAAATCTCCAAATTATACTAACTAGGAAAAGATCCGGATCACCTATTTGAATTAACTGGGTTTGAGCCGAACACGTGAGTGGTCCGTTTTGCCATCTCTTCTCACTAGGGGTAGGAGTGTGAGTGAAGAAATTTAGTTGTTGTTTGTTTCCATTTATTAGTTCCTATTTTTACAGTACAACAGTAAATAAATAAGCATAGAATAAATTAAATAAATAAATAAATTACTAACAACTACACAGCGCCTGTATCGTTCAACGACGCAATTAAATTAATAAGCTATGATAACCTGAAATGATTCGGTGCATTGATCCACGAACCTTGCAATTTTCAATTATTTAAGTTGATGGTCCTTCAAAAGTTGACCCCTAGGATAGCTACTAATAGAGTGCTGGTTGATAGACCTACGTACTTCTCATCGTCTGAAACCTCCTATCAATTGTTACTAAATTCCACTTCCATCACCTGAATACCCTCGTTTATTTTCTAGAACTATAACAGTTTGACTAATTAGACATATCTTCTACTGGAAAATAACTTATTAAACTCCTATTACGTGATTCCACACAATTCCTCTGGCTGCTCTATTTATTTACAGGGGTTATTAGGATAGGCTCATTTATTAATAGTTCAACTATGGCCAGTTGTAAGCCACGAGTCTTTTTCGGAATCTGGGATTCACAAACTGTAGTGCTGAACACTAATTCAATCTCACACACCTATAGTTGTTTTGTCATTTTTCATGCTGCACTGTTTTGCACTGAGGTATTCCGCATTGGATTAACTATCTCATCTTCGTATTTCTATTTTTTGTATTGAGCAACTTGTTATTTTGTTGATGTTTTTGATTCCGGTCTATTGTTGTATTGTTTGTTGTGTCTATTGTGTTTACTTCTTCTTCTTGTCAATGTTGATTGTACAGAGCGAGTAAGTTTGACGGCAGTCCCGCTGGTCTTGGCCATCGCGGGCCGCCTGCACGTACCGGTAGAATCGAATCACGGCTGCGTTCGTCGAGGTGGGTTTCTGCAGCTCCGTCGCGTCCCTGGGGGGTGGTGAGAAATAAAATGGGAAAATGAGAGATGCGTTAGAGAGTCTTGATTATATGGACGGGAAGCGTTAGTACGGTGGGTTGCCTATCGGTAGGCGCGTTGTTTCGTGTCGGAGCAATGGAAGTGTGGATCAAGCGAACAAATCACGCTTCATTGCGCCCTTTTGCGGATCGCCGCATTTGGTTTGATTGAGTTTCATTAGAGAAACGAAATGGGATTTCATCCATCACCACTAACGATGCTCAGGTAGGTAATGAAAGTGGGTGTCGAAGTGATACCAGCTTGCGAACAATTGAAACGGTTCGTCGCTTGAGCATCGGTGAAGCGTAGAAGTCCAAGGAAATATACCATTGTTAAACAATGTAATGGTTTGATTTCGAGTTTCCGGGTTGAATTGATGTGATTTTTCTAGGGGATGTTCATCTGAATTGAACATAATTTGATTCATGACGTCACTATAAATCAGAATGTTGAGTAATAACTGCAAGTATGTTGTTGTTGTTATTGTTGATGCATAGAGTTTGTTGCTGTCATTGAAGGGACAGCTAGTTCTGCTTATAATTTCCACTTGTATCTAAATGCAAGTGCTGGTAGATGTGATGTGCTTTAATCGCTGTTCATTAAACCTTAAGGAAAGATTCAAACATTGAAATCCGAATGGCTTTAACTTGCAAATACATAGGGATCATCGATAAATGACGTAACACATGTTTCACCAATTTTTAACCCCTCTCCTGCCCCCTCGCTGCATATTTTGCTAGACTTAATACATGACCGGTCACAAATTCTGAAACTACCTGGGTTTCATTCCATCCCGGGCGGTCATAGCGAAAGCTTAGTAAGCGAAGCCGTGCGGCGGTAAGTTGGCCCTCTTTTCTCTGAGGGGCGAATCTCCCGGGAAAGCACGACTACGGTCGATGCTCAGCTCTCGACGTATTAAATCGGAAGCCTTCCGTCCAGCCGCCACTCTCTCCGCAACTCTAGTTCGGTCATACTGCGCACGGGTCACCTTCATCGCTGCTCGCCATACTGCAGCTCATGTGCGGCACCATCACGCCTCGCCGCCATCGCCACGCTAACTGGAAGGTCGCCTTCCGTCGCCATCATCGAGTCGTCGAGTCCCCACCGTCAGCCATCATCGAGTCGTCGTTCTTCGCGTCGAAAAACCTGCGCAGGTATGTTGGAGCATGTTTTTATTCATATCCATGATTTGCTCTTTTTCCGTACACTCATCCAGAAGTCCAACCCGAATAAACGAACTCAATAATAGTGTTTAATGAAAATTGAAGATTTGTGTTTAATGCTTTAGAATGTTTATTCCCTGGAAAAAAAGACACTCGCTACGTTCAGTTTTTCCTTCGATTACCGCTCAGTTGAGTAAGAATTCCTTCTTTCTCTTTCCGTTTCGTTCATGTTCTGGGTAAGTTAGAGTAATTCTTTCGTTCCGATAATACCTGTGGTTCTACGGGACTTGGCGTTTTACTTTTGATATTAAAGCTAGTTGTGCCATTAGTAATCCGGTTTCCGATTCAAGAGGTTCTCTGAGATAAGGTCTCATAAATCGGGCAAAATTCGAACATGACCAGTGGTCTCTCCTAATCGAGAGTGGCGCTTAAGCCACTGAGTTCTACGAAAACCTCAACGAAAATTCGTGAACGGTTGCATTGGCGCCCAACGTTAAAATTTATTTTAAAACAGTTCGGGTTTGGAGTGGTCGCATTGGCGACCAACCGTAAAAGTTTTGAGTTCGTTACATAAGCACCAAACGTTTAAATAAGTTTTAAAGTACTTTCGATCAGTTGAGTCAAGTTTTTTTTTATTCAGTTGAATCTTTAGTTAAGTGTTGAATTTGAATTTTGAAGTTTTGTTTTCTCTTTTCATTTTATCATAGATTAAATTGCAGGTTAGGCTTGGATTTTCATTGGATTCGTATAAATTAAGGGAGCATAAGTTTAAAAGGTGAATTTCAGTTTGAATTTTTTGATAGGTTAAGTTCGAGTAAATTTATTTTGGATTTTTTAATTTACATTTAAGGTTGAAGTTTTTTTTTAAGTGAATCGGAATTTGTAAGTTTTATTGCTCGCCTAATATTAATAATTTTTTGAGCTCAAAAATGAGTTCGTATTATATTCTACCAGCTGTGGAGCACCTTTTAGAAGATGAGGTAGATTTTGAATTGAGACTGCGAAAGCAATGGTTATCCAAGAGAGAGTTTAGAGGATAAAAAACGGTTGTTAAGGAGATTGTTTAAGGATGACAGAAAATCGAAAGTTCCCTACCCGTCGATCGTGAACATTAAGGAGGAGAATTTGCTGATTGCGAAGAAAGTCTGGCTGGCGAGTTAGAAGAGAGTTTGAGTAAACGGGTAGACCGAACGACAGTTTCAAGATTACGGCATTATTTGGTGAGAACATCTATAGCTGCTGCAATCGATGATGCAGAAAAGAAGATTCAGTCAGATCTGCGTGATCAAATTGAAGCAATTTTCAGGCAATACAGGATTGAGACACGACAGGTAGAAAATGAGGAGGAAAAAGGAGAAAAAGAAGAGGAAGCGTTAGAAGAAGATGAGAATGGAGGGAGTGAAGAAGAGGACAATGAGGAAGAAAGCAGAAAAAAGATAGAGAAGAAGAAATTTGAAGCCGAATGGAAGGAGTTTCAATTGTGGAAATTAAGAAAAGAACAGTATGAAAATGAGGGAGATAGTAGTAGTGATGATGGTGAAAGGTCGCCGGAGATCAATAGGAACAGGAAACCACGTCAGGATCGAAATAGAAAAAGTGAAGCCGAAGAAAGCAGTGGTGAAAGTAAGATCCGGAAATCAAAGAAATATATTAGTAAAGGAAACAAGAAAAAGAGTGATGGATGGCCACCGGAGAGTCATAAGAGCCGAAATTCACGAAAAGATGATAGTGTAGAGAGGAAAAATGGAAAAGGGGGCAAATTTAAGAAACTTGGTTCTGATATTAGTTCCGATAGGTCAAGAAAATGTGAACCCAAAGATAGTAGTCAGAGTGATTCAAGTAGTGAATATTACTCCAACAGAACGAGCAAGGCAAAGAGGAATAAAGATGTTCATGGTAGAAGACATCGAAAACATGCGTCTTCAAGTAGAGAGCGGGAAAAGCCGCGGTGTAGGAAATCACGTGTGGAGAACTGGGATTTAAATTTCTCAGGAGATAGCAGATCCATTCAAGTTGAGGACTTCTTGAACCGGATTCAGACCCTAGCGCGTCATGAGGGAGTATCGAAGGAGAAGTTATTCATGAATATCCACCGTAGATTGAAAGAAGAAGCATACGACTGGTGGTTTACGAGAGAGAGTCATTTGACTAGTTGGAGAAAGTTTGAGAGCGAGATTCGTTTTTGTTATGGAAATCCAAATAGAGATAGGGGTATTCGAGCACAGATTAGAGAGCCGAAGCAGAAAAAGGGTGAGCCGTTTATAGCATATGTAACAGAGGTGGAAAAGCTAAACCTATGTCTGCAACGTCCGTTTTCATCTAGAACACTTTTTGAGCTGATTTGGGAGAACATGCGCCCCTATTATCGCTCAAGGTTATCTGTGTTGGACATTGACGACCTGGAAGCCTTAATTGAGATCAATCATAAGATCGACGCTAATGACCCGAGTTTCTTCAGATCATCTCAGGGGAACAGGAATGAACTCCATCATTTAGGTGTCGAGGATTCATTTAGTGAGAATTCAGAAGAAACACCAGTAGTCAATACTTTAACCACGAATAACAGTTCTAGGAAAACTGCAACGAATTATATTCAACCCAAGTTATCGCAGCAACAAAGACACCTGATACTCAGAGGGAACAGCAACAGCAACGGCATCAACAAACAAACAATAGCAGCGCGTTAGAATGCTGGAATCGCAGAAGGACTGGTCATATATGGAGGGAATGCCGGGAACCAAAACGAATATTTTGCTATGCGTGTGGTAACCCTGGTAAAAAAAATCACGAGAAATTGCGATAACAATCATGCTTCCTTTTACGGGAGAGGTATGCAGAACGTTGCCCGTCCAACAAACTAATTGCGGGGTGTTTGAAAGGGAATCCATCCGCCTCGCTGTTAGAAGAAATTCCCGAAATTAGAGTTAATCCTAGTGTGTGTCCTCACATAAAAGTAAACATACTAGGAACAGAAGTAATTGCACTGCTTGATTCAGGAGCAGGAGTAAGTGTGATGAGTGCACTTAACATTGTGCAATCTCACGGGTTCAAAATATTGAAATCAAACATCAAAATATGTAAAGCAGACGACACCACACATACATGCTTAGGATATGCAAACATTCCCTACACCTTAGGGACAGAGACAAGAGTCGTTCTCACATTGATCGTTCCAGAAATTAGAAAACCACTCATTTTAGGGATGAATTTTTGGAAAGCATTCCAAATTCGTCCGATGATCACTACTCAAAACAGGATTGAGGAGTAAGATTTAACATGGACATCAGATTTGAACGAAAAACCCGTCATCTACTTCCTTAGAGTTTTTTTTTTATGTAATTACTTTATTTGTACAGGCTCAATCGAATAAACTTTACAGAGCCGAGTTATCCTTTGCGTTATACATTATTACTGTCTTAAATTTAAAGTTAAAGGAACTGGACCGAGTACTCGCGGTTGTCTCGAGGTTAGTGGAGATTTACAATTTTTTGGATGGGAAAAGGGAAGAAGGAGGTTTGAAACTTCCTTAGAGTTGAAGAGGATGTTTTGGTAGATGAAGACCCGATAAATTTTTCAGTGCATGTCATACAGATTAAAGAAGGGGATGAGCAAAAAACTTTGGCAACGCAACTTGAAGAAGACATAACGTTGGAGATACCTACTTTGGATTTACCAAAAAATCCACATGAGGCAATTGGAAATTTAGAGACAGAACATGAACTAATCCCAACCGAAAAATGTCAACTCGAGGAAGTTCTCAGGGAATTCGCGTGTTCCAGTGAAGGTAACCTCGGGAAAACATCACTGAT